AACAAATATTTGGCGTTTAAATCCACCAAAAACTTTTTAAATTCAAATAATCTCTTTTTGTGTTCTCAATTTCACAAATTCCTTGACTTGTGAATAACTATTGCAATTTTATAAAAAGAATTTGATAGAGAATTTTGTTTACAGGTGTATCTTGTACAAATCTAACCTTAAAAATGCAATTCACAAAACACAATAGTTTAGTGAAATACTTATATTCCTATGAGAATGTTAATCATATAATAATATACTATTATGATATTGATTTATCTCTAATAAAGCTTACTTACTTACTTATTTACTTACTTGAATGCATGCTTTAAAGCGCTTTTTGTAGCTTTTCACAAGAAAACAAGTCAAATCAATTGAATGAACTAATATTTGAAATGTTTGGTTTAAATGATTGTTGAAACCTCTGTGGATGCTATTATGAAGAGGTATTTTGTTAAATTGCCCCCGTACATTTTTATGCATTTAAACAAAAATTGAATGTTTAATGATTAGGAGGCTAATAGGCCGAACGCTATGGTTAAGAATGACTATAGGGGGCCGCCATATCGATCTTTATGAGTATATACGCAATTCTTTGCCGTTTTAATTATATATTTTTTAAATTATATGTTTAAATTATTTATGAAATGTTTTCTCCGGTTTTTTTAAAAGAAATTCTCGAGATTTTTAAGGGCACTGTCACCATTTTAACGAATTTTCATGGCCGAACCGAATTGGAATTTCTCCAGAATTTCTCCTAAAAAGTTTTTGGGAAATTCCTGAAAATTGTTTACAAAGGAATTTTTGGAGAACAAAATTAAATACTTAGTTTCGAGAAATCCTGGGAATTTATTAGACATATATGTTGAGTTGTAAACGCTTATATAAAGCCAATTTTTTGTATTTTTCATAAAAAATTACCGGGTTCGACAAAAAATCATTGCCTTTACAAGTTAAAGCAGAGTCATATTAATTGGAGTGTTCAAATGAGCATTTAAAAAATTTACAAAAAATGTTTACATTTGTATTTATCAATAAATTTAAAAGAAATTATAAAGATGACTTGAACTCCACTGTGCTTTGTTTATCCATTTAAAACTCTAAGATAAATGGGAAGACATGTATCAGTTAAAAAATATAAACTGTTTCACTCATTTTTAGGTCGGCACTTGATTGAAATAAAAAAATGAATAAAAAATGTGTAAAATATCACAGTGATAGCCAGAAAACAATAGAAAAGGAAGATGCCTTTACAGCAATACTCAAGGGTATTTGTATTGTTACAAAGCAATTAGTTGTACTAGGCAATAATTAAATCACTAATTTGGTAAGTGAGTATGTTTACACTGCACAATGGCTGTGTATCATGCGCACTGGACTTTTTTAAAGTTATAACTTGATTCTTAAGGTCGTCTTCTATTAAAGAGTGTTCTGTTCAACACTGTATAACTATATCACAATGAAACAAATTTATTTGAATCTGAATTGAATCCGATTAAATAAATATTTGCTTACTTCAGATGCATTACAGGGTTTGTTTGTTTTCTTCAACTGTTGAAGGTTACAAGTTTACTATAGTTTACTAATTCACTAGTTCACTAATTCACTAGTTCACTTGTTCACAAGTTCATTATTTCACTAGTTCAACAGTTCACTAATTCATCAGTTCACTAGTTCACTAATTCACTGATTCAAAAGTTCGCTAGTTTACAAATTCACTAGTTCACTAATTCATCAGTTCACTACAAAAGAATCGCGTCGGGGTCACCAAAATCTAGCGACGAAAGGAATAAGACCAAATGAATAAGACCAAATGAATAGGATCAAATAAACTGACTGAATATATATTTATCAAAAACAGTATTTATACTAGATGCAGTATATCATAATCTAAACAATAACATGTGAAGTATGGAATATGCTGTGTACTGCATTCCGGGAATCCAGGGGCGCCACAGTATATTACGACTCCTGGTCCTGTAGTATATTGAGACTCCTTGTCCTGTAGTATATTAGGACTCCTGGTCCTGTAGTATACTGGGACTCTTGGTCCTGTAGTATATTTGGACTCCTGGTCCTGTTCTATATTAGGACTCCTGGTCCTGTAGTATATTAGGACTCCTGGTCCTGTAGTATATTGAGACTCCTGGTCCTGTAGTATATTGAGACTCCTTGTCCTGTAGTATATTAGGACTCTTGGTCCTGTAGTATATTAGGACTCTTGGTCCTGTAGTATACTAGGACTCCTGGTCCTGTAGTATATTTGGACTCCTGGTCCTGTTCTATATTAGGACTCCTGGTCCTGTAGTATATTAGGACTCCTGGTCCTGTAGTATATTGAGACTCCTGGAACTGTAGTATATTACGACTCCTGGTCCTGTAGTATATTGAGACTCCTTGTCCTGTAGTATATTAGGACTCCTGGTCCTGTAGTATATTAGGACTTATGGTCAAATAGTGTATTGGGACTCCTGGTAAAATAAAATATATATGCTCTTAAATGTAATACTCCTAATCCAACAGTTTTATTGGTCATGCTGTACAAAATTTCTCCAGCTTCCTGGGGTTTTTACCAAGCATTTTTACAGTTACAATGTGTACTCATGGGAAGATAAGGAGTCGGGACTTTTTCCTGTGTATTCACCCTTACATATCTTACACCTTTTTCTCTACAGGAAGTCTCAAAAAAAAAACTTGTCAAAGACCATTTAATCTTATGAATGTTTTACAATTAGAGGGTTTTCTGCATTTAGTTATTTTAGGGTTTATGAAATAATTGTGCCACGTTTACACGTTTTCGTATAAATATGAGAAAATACTAAATTTTTTACAATTTACATTCGTCTCTGAATATCATCTATGGGTGAAAATGAGTTGTTAAGATAGGACTCACATTTTTTACCAGGATTTATCACGATTTTTATATCTGAGAAATTGCACGATTATTTTTATAAAACATTGCTAAAAATGTCCCAAGACTTGACGTTTTTGAAGTAAATGCAATTTATTAATAAGGTATTTACTAAAAGATTAAGTTTTATGACATTTTATTGTTTTTAATCTAAGACCTCTAAATCATTCGTGAAATATGTCCAGCAAATACAAAATAACTCATTCCTAGCTTTTACCTCGCTGATTTTTCAAGTAAATTCAAAATGTATAATTTGTCCCGAGGACGAAACTTTTAAATGAGTTAAGTCTGATCTCTAACAGTTGAACTTTAAATCCAGTATCCACAGTTGAAACTTAAGCACTTTAAGCACGTACTACCTTTGGAGAAACCAAGAGAAAGCAAAAGGAACAAATGACATCAATAGATACACATACAGATCAGTGCTTTCTGAATTCATAAACTCTACGAAGGTTCATGCATTGAGGGTAGGGGGGGGGAGGTTATGAAGAGTTGGGTAGAATAATATATAATGTTCTATATAAATAAACAAATCTTGAATAACTGACTCAACCTGTACTCTGGACCAATATTGTTATCAGTACTTCTAAGTATAGTAGGCCTGGATCAAGTAATAGGCTTGGATATAGTAATTGGCTTGAATCAAGTAGTAGGCTTGGAACTTGCATTATATCCACCCATTACGAGATGTATCAATTACTTGTTCTTGTAGCCTACCTTGCATGTACAACTGGGCTTAGTGTACATGAGTACAGTAAACATCAGCTAGTAGAACCAGGGGAAGCTGTCAAATTGTACTGCAGGTCAGTCTATGTACAGTCTATGTACAATTTAGGCAATTGTTTTGATAAAAATAGTTCTTAGTGAAGCAAATAAATTTTCCTAGGAGTGCATCATTTCGGCGAACTGTCCCGTTTTGCTTTATATAGTCTATGTACTGTACAGCTTGCTCTAGTTGCTTAAAATTCAGCCCGGTACTTGAAATAAAACTGAGTTTACAGTGGTAGACACCTGAAAACTTTTTAAAAAGGTATGCTATAAACATTGGTTTTGGTCCATTACCATAGATACAGTTTTTAAATTGTATATTGCTTTTTCTTATTGCTAAAGAATTAATAGGCGCCAATGCTGCAGAAAACCGAGATTGCTAGAAATTAAAAACTATAAAATCGTCTCTTAAAGTTTCAATCTTGTATCTAGGGGATGGGTATAGTTTTCACTTTTTTTAATTTCTAAAAAGAATCTTTTTAAATAAAAAGTAGCTGTTTTTCTTTAAATTGGTCGCTTCAGCGAACAAATATGTTAAATCTTCCAACTCGATTCAAAATTGAACCTATTTTGAAAATAATCGAAAATATTTATAAAATTTGAATTTTTTAGAACTTTTAAATTCGCATTTTTTTCTAACTGTACAGGCCAAATAGGAATTTTCAGTTGTAAAGGAATTGATTTTTTGCCACAAACTCTGATTTTCTTGTCCCTATATCATTGCAACCCAATGCCGTATTTCATATTTCAAAATATGAATTCCGTTAGATCAAATATTCTAATTTTGAACTTTTTTAAGATTACAATGTCAGCTTGAAAAAATATAGGGATTTAAATTCGAAGTTTGTGACAAAGACTGAAAATTACTTTGATTAAATCGAGTCAAAAATTGTATCGTCATCTGGTGCACTCAATACTATTGATGACAGTGAGAAGAATGTTTATTGGTTTTTTTTTATTCTCCCCTTGACCCAGGAATATGCATACAAATATTATAGCTGTAAATGTATAATGTATATATACTGTAAATATATTCTTTTATTTTCTTGGTAAATATATGAATCATGACAAAGCCGACGTTATCTTATGTTTTTCACAATTCTTTCAGGTATAATATATCAAATATTGTATTCCCTCGGGGTGAGTTGTAAACGCTTA